TCAGAAACTACTTCAAGTGCTACTGTAAACTAGTGTCTCAAGCTATATACTTAAGTGAACCATAAAATCAATACCCTAAAATATATTAGGGAATTGAGAAATGCAAGGTTTCAACAAGGACAAAGAAACAAATTTATTTTGCTTTGACAAAATCAAATTACAAAAATAGTCTGTTGCTACATTATATAAAAGAAGCCATATGATACATACATAGTATTTGTCTGCATAAACTACTCAGTAAGCTTTTGATCTTACTGAATCTACACTCAAAAATAAAATACATGTACACTTTGGGACTTGAATCCATCTTATTGAAAAACTCAGGAACCAAATACATAATATTTAAGATCCTACTGTTTGACTGAAAATATCCATCACATTCTGAGTTCTTGTCCTTGCTATCCTAAACTCAGGAAATGAACAGATGAAGATCTGGTGTCTTTCACTATCTACACCTTCACCATCCAAACCCATTATATGACTACAATAGATTCAAACTATGAGGAATACTTATGAATCTTAAGAAGTTTTTAAATATAATTTCACATGACTTAGAATCTTTCAGCAACATGCAGATATTATAGGTACAAAACAGATCTTAGAAAACATCTTTTTATATCATTTCTCATCACTCTGCTGGAACAGCTGTGACAGTTCAGTTATTGCCCCTCAGCTCCTAAGTGCAACATTCCCCACTATTACCCTGCTTTGTGATGCTAGAACTAGAATTCTCTCAATAAACCACACTTGTACTTTTTAGTTGGATTCCTACAAAGCTCTGTCTAGCAAGACAAGGCACTAAAAACAGACTAGAAATCTAGAGGAGAGGAAGACACTTGTGCCTTTCTGTCTACTCCATGACATTCATAAAAGTGTTTCCTTAGCAAAGGCTTCTTCATCTCTTCACCAGCAGACCTTTCTCATACCAAATCAATGGTATAAGATCAATTCACTTTCCAGTGTTTACGGTACTTAACTAGTTTCATAATACGGTACACAACACTGGTACATGTCAGTATCCCCTCCACAGAGGTCTGGCTCTCAATATGACAGGTCTCATCTTACAAGCTCAGACACACACCAGCATAAATCCTGAAGCAGTTTCTCCTCACAGGTCTGAATCTCAGTTCAATAGAGTCTTTCTTTCTAAGATCTTCCTTTATTCTTGAATCTTATGTGTAGTACCTGGTGTCCTACTCTGTCTTGTCTTCAAGATAATGTATGAGTTTTATTTTTATCTTTCCTATTACCTGGTTAACAATTTTATATCTAGTTAACCATTCTCTCTACAAAGCATGTCTTTAAATTACTAAGTACGGTTTCTGCCTAGGCAAAGAACACTAATGAAACAAAACTGTCTCATATAGAATATAACATCGTTACTGTAACTTTGATTACAATATAATTTTAGCTTGCAGGTAGCACACATCTATAATCCCAGCACTTGGGAGAATAAGGCAGGAGGATCACCATGAGTTCAAGGACAGCCTGGGCCACATTGTGTTCAAGGCTAGTGTAAACTATATAGAGAGATCCTGTCTCAGAACACCAAAAAGTAATTTTTGCTATATTATGATAGCAAGCAAAGAAAAAGGAAAATGTTGGTAAGAGCAATTTGGTATAAATTTGAAAGTATACTACCTATCACTAAAAATCCTTGGCCGGGGAGATGGCTCAGTAGAATAAGCGCTTCCCTGGCAAGCACAAGGACCAGAGTTCAATCCCAGGTTCCGCAAATAATAATAATAATAATTAATTAATTAAAAATCCTTTACAAATATTCTTTTAAGGAAAATCTGGCTAGGGAGATAGCAACATAAGCGCCTGCCTGACAAGCACGTGGTCCAGAGTTCCATCCCCAGTACCACAAAAAAAGAAAACAGAAAACCTGAGGTATATTTTTCCAATTCATATATAATATCTATTGATATAAAAGTATGTAATGAGCAAGGTGTGGTAATACACACCTGTAATCCCAGCGCTTGGGATGTCAGGGCAGAAAGGTCATCATGAGTTCAAGGCCAGCCTTGGCTAACTACTTAGTGAAATGTGGTCTCAAAAAACCTACATAGGGGCTAGAGATATAGCTCAGTGGCATAAGCACTTGCCTGGCAAGCACAAGGTCCCATGTTCAATCCCCAGCGCTGGGAAAAAAAAAAAAAAAAAACCCTACATAAGGGGGATGTGGAGATGGCTCAGTGGAATAAGTGCTTCCCTGGCAAGGTGCTTCCCTGGCAAGTGCAAGGGCCTGAGTTCAATCCCCAGTTCCGCCAAAAAAACAAAACAAAAAACAAAAAAAAACCTAAATAAACAATGTGATATAAAAATATTAAGTGCTACCTCTGTATTTCCATATTTTCTATGAATTATTATTTTTAATCATAAAAATACAGTGACCTTTAAAACAATCCTAATACAAGCCAGGAGTGATGGTACATGCTTGTTAACCCCTGCACTTAGGAGGCACAGGCATTAAGACTGCCCACAAATTTGAAGACAACCTGGGCTACATAGTGAGTTAAAGGCCAGCCCAGACTACAAAGACAGACTCTAATCTCAAAAAAAAAAAAAAAAAAAAAAAAAATCCTAATACATTCATATTAAACAAAGACCCAAAATCATTTCTAAGAAAACAACATCTGTTTACCTTGAACACTGAAGATGACTGAGGGAACAACTGTAATTCATCTACTATCTTATCCTGTATAACATTTTTTTAAACATTTCAGACTTCCATTCCACTCCCTACATTCACTTACATATATAATGTCCACTCAGTCAATGGTCTTAATACAACTGTTTCATCATAATCCCACTACTAAAATATATTTAAGGAAAATTATTACCTGGAACATCGAAGTGGCCAATATATAATGATGAAACTATTCCCTAATTTTTAAATACAGTATCTAAAGAGAGTAAAATAATTGCTCTCATTGTACTAAGTGGAAATTACCAATGAGTCAAATTAGTTCTATAACAGTTTTGAAAATTAAACAAATTATGAGTCTTAAAAAAAAAAAGTTTTTTTCAGAGCTACTTAGATATCTCTTGTTTACAGAGAAAGGGAAAAAAATCTCAAAATAAATAGAAAAGCAATCTTTTCATTTATTTCTACTTTCACGGAAAGAAATGCCATAATAGCACTCTGATTCTCTGTGTCTCTGTCTCTCTGTCTCTGTCTCTCTGTCTCTGTCTCTGTCTCTCTCTCTCTCTCTCTCTCTCTCTCTCTCATTTGCTGTCTTCCACCACTGAACTGTAGCTGCCCCTCTGCCATGTGCAACCCTGCCTTGGAGTCAGCTGATCATGGACTGAAACCTCTATGCACTGTGAGCTAAATAAGCCTTTCCACCTTAAAAAAAATTTTTGTAAATACTAAAATAGCATAAAGTTTTTCTACTGAGAAAGAGGTAATGACCTTGACCTGCTAGGAATTCAAGTAAATAAAAATGAAAAATGCAACTTCACTGTTTATTTTTCTTCTATGGCATTCTAGAAAACTAGAAAACTAGAAATCTCTCTCAATCCTAAAGATTACTTGGCTTCACAGTCATGGCTCCAGTAACTTTGTACCCTTTTTCTCTCTCTTCCTGCCCTCCACAACAGGACATTCCAACTCTCTTCCAGCTCTGTTCTAGCCACACAGACCTCCTCAATATTCTTTAAACATACACAGTAATCTGCCTGGACACTTCCTGGATTCCTTCCGACTTACGGTATGTTTGTCTTCCACATACCCAATATATGGCTCATGCCATCACTATTGCAGCTCTTCATTCAAATGTTACTTTCTCAGTGACGCTTTTTGGCTACCCTGTCTAAAATAACATATACCCTCATTATTTTCTGTTTTCTTCCATTTTAATTGTCTCAGCCCTAATCACCGCCACTATCTAATAGATACTTGTACTTGTTTTCTTAATTATCCCACCATAATGGCATATTCCACGATTATGAGATTTTTTTCACTTGCTACATTAAAATACGTTTAATCAGCTCAATATGCTAAATGAGTAAGTAATACTACTGACTATAACACTACATGTAACTAGTAGATGCTGTCATCATACTTTATATTCTAATCTCGAAGTTTACACTTAAAAAAAATCAGGTTTAGGGGTTTTTTTCAAATTGTGCTACTGGAACCACAAATCCTGTCAAAAGTCACTATGAAGGTAGATACAGAAGTCTAACCAAGCAGGACGCATATTTATCTGCTTTATCCACTGGACTTCATCTTCATAAGATAATTTGAAGGAAGGATCTGGTTACTTCAAAATTCTGAAACCACCGAAATGTATACATTAACTTACTTTTTTCTTTTTCACATTTCATTTATTTCATATATTATAAATGAGAGTAATCTAAAATTAGTATCTTTAACCTCATTTAATAATCTGCTACAAAGGAAATCAAAATTTACTACTTTTTGGTTAAAACAAATAGAAAGCTGATTAAGAAACAAGGAAAGAAGTGTAAAATTATATTATTTCATGTATATGACCATAACCTTACTAAGTTCACTCAGTTTACTTAATTTACTAATGGAAACTAAGAGCAGATCCAAATCTTTTTTTTTTTTTAATTTTTTATTTATTTATGTGTGTGTGTGTGTGTGTGGCCAGCTCAGCCCACCAGGGGGCGGGGCTGGCTGGCATGTGGTGCTGGGGGATTGAACCATGGTCCCTTTGCTTTGCCAAGCTCGCTCTAAGTAGGTGCTCTAGACCGCTGAGCCATCTCACCAGCCCCCAGATCCAAATCTTATTACCACAAAAATCTTTGTAAGCAAAAATCTCTCTACACTACATTAGTGCACTACTTGACAAAACAAGATTCAATGTTTTATTAAGAAATTCCCCTTTCAGAGGCCAGGGAGATGGCTCAGTACAATAAGCGCTTCCCTGGAAAGCGCAAGGGCCTGGGTTCAACCTCTAGTTCTACCAAAAAAAAAAAAAAAAAAATCGATATTTCAATAAAGAAAAAAAGAGACAAGCACTTACCTTAATGAAGTTACAGATGGACAAGACTGTCCATACAAACCCATCTGGCCACAAAGAGAATCTACAAAATAAACAAAAGTTAGTTTTTAGATGCTTCAAAATGAATTAAACTATAAATCACAGTACAATTCTAAAACTCTGTGAAAAAACAGAAGGCTAAAAGAACAACCATTATCAGAAGCAAACTCACATGAACGAAAAATATTACTGAATAAAAAGAGGGATTATGCTGAAGAAAAACTCTTACCAGGAAGAATAAAAAAGAAAGAAGCAAGCATACCATAACTGTGATACACAAATGAGTTGAGATTTCATAAAATTTGACAAATAGTTCTGTTTAGACAGTGTGTGTCCAAATTATTTAGAAAAAATCCCAGAAATTCCAGAAAGGTGTCTAAGCTCCATTAAGTTAGGCATGCAGGTCCCTGTTTCAACACTAACTGAAAAATCCCATAAATTCCAGAAAGGTGTCTAAGGTCCATTAAGTTGGGCATGCAGGTCCCTGTTTCAACATTAACTGTCCCCCCCCGCATTTATACATCTCTTCAGTGAAAACTTCACTAAGAAATCTGAAGAAAGTTTCATTACTTAAGAAAATAATAATAGTAAGATTAACACTGGAACATAAGGAGTTCTAAGTTCTAGGTTTAAATTCTAACTTGTAACATTGATGAGACCTTGAAGAATTCACATAGTCTCAATGAACATCAGTTTCATCTGAAATTTGGCAATATTAACACCTGTATAACATTTCTATAATTATCATCACAGGTTTGATGTTAAAATTAAATAATAAATTAGAAAAATATGAAGATAGCTATTAGCATTATCTCCCTAGGATATGGTAGTGTCAAATATTTTCTCTGGGACAAGAATGATTCACAAATACTAAAGGTACTTATTATGGCTTGCATCTAGATGCACCCCCTAAGTGCTATGTGCTCAGAGGAGGAGAGTTTTGGAGGTGGCTGGATTAAGGTGTATGAATGTAGATAAAGGGTATGATACTGGGATTAAGAAGGTAGACAACAGAAGTCCCTCCATGGGTATGGGTGGCACCAATTAATAGACTGGTATCCTGAATGGAATATATAGTAAGGGACTGGAAGAAAGCAGGCTTGCTGCTGCAGTTTGGTAATCTCCTGTTTGCCATGGACTATTTCTCCTCTGTGATGCCCTTCTCCCATGCCAACCTGCCTTGGAGCCAACAATCAAATGAAATCTCTACAAACTGTGAGCTGAAATAAACCTTTTCTCTTTTAACTTGAGGGTGCTAGGTATTCTGTCTCAGCAATGAGAAAAGTAACTAAGACATTAATAAAACTGAAATAAGGTTGGTTTGAACTCAAAGAGTCTTTGTACTCAACTACATCTCAGCCCTTTTTTGATTTGTTGAGACAGAGTCTCTCTCAGTTATTAAGCTCCCCAGACAGAACTCAAATGTATGATCCTTCTCTCTCAGCCATCCAGAGGGCTGAGATTACAAGCATGTGTCACTATACCCAATTCACCCCATTATTATAAGAATTTCCAGTTTTTCAAAAGAAATCCAGAATGTTATTTAAAATCTATTTTGTATTTTCTAAATATTATGTGAGCCAAAGAAAACTGGATTTTGTTCTAAATGTGCAACTGTTGATTCAGAAGCTAAGTTACCAACAACTAACTGTCCTGCATATGCTGGATAGACACAATTTTATTTCTGCCAGGATGACAAGATAAATGGCTTGATCACCACATTCAGTTAAAGTAACTAGAATACTAGATAAAATGTTTTCAAATTTTCATAAATGAATCAAAACTCTGACAAAAAATAAGGCATGATCAGAAGTAAAAAAGTAAGTATAAAAGGGAATACTAAAAATCAGCTTTTCTTCATCTTTAGGACATCTGTCAAACCATGTAAGTTTCAATTTTCAATTAATTCTAAGACTTCTTGAGGCCCAGTAAAAGCAGCAAAGTTCAGGTCTTACCCAAAAGAATTACATGGAAGACTGCTTTGGGAAGGAAGGGGTACAGAACAGGAGATTGGAGACAAGAGATTTGTTATGCAGATCAGGCTAGCCTCAAATTTCAGATGCTCCTGCCTCAGCTTCCCAACTGTTAGAATTACATGCTGGGATTATAGATGTGCACCATCACACTAGGCTGACAACTCTTTTCAACCTTGGCACCAGATATAGACAAGGAGGTAAGGGTAAGACAGCAGTGCAGTGCTGTCTCCTCTGACTATTCACAAACACATACTGACTGACCTTCCCCCATGATTATAGTTTTAAAAGCTCTGTACCTAAAAGTTGTTTACAGTGACTGCAGGATGGCAGTGTCCCCACTCAACCTTGACACATGCAAATGCAAAATCTCTAGGGAATTCATCTTTGATCTAGACCTTTGAAAAATTCCCACAAGTATAGTTATAAAATTAATGACATGAATAAATTCACAATCAAGTCACAAAACCCAGAAAAAAACAAGCCACTCACAGCAATACACAGCAGAAACAACATAATCAAAACCAAAGATATTGCTGGGGTTTTTTTGGGGGGTGGGGGGGTGGGGTTTTTTTTTGTTTTGGTTTTTTGGCGGTACCAGGAATCGAACTCAGGACATTGCACTTGCCAGGCAGGCGCTTACGCCACTGAGCTATATCCCTAGCCCCCTACTGTTTTTATTGTGCAAGTGCTTTCCTTAGTTCTATATTTTAATCACTTGCATATAGATGAATCTCAAATCTTTATAATATCCAAATATAAATATCTAATATCCCTTTCTTGAAGTCCCAAATTTGCTGTCTGAAGCTGAATTCATCTTCTTTCCTTAATATACTTTCTATCTTAATAAAATGGCATGGCCTTTTCATCTAAGAATGACCTTCAGATTTCTACATTAATTCTTTGTTAGAGAAGAAAACTTTCCAACTCATAGTTTTATGAGCTATGACTTCTCTAAGCACTCCTAATAGTTTAAGCCACTCCCCTTCACAGAAGTAGCTTGGTAGGTGGATATAACTTGCTTAACAAAAGACTTGAACACCAAGGAGTAGACAGATAGGAATCAGCTATTAACAGATTTCTTTAAGAACTGATGACAACATTCTGAGAATGACTATACAATTTTGTGACCATACTAAAAACTCAACTGTACACTCTAAAATGGAGAACTAGGGGCTGGAGAGATGGCTCAGTGGTCTAAAGCACCTACTTGAAACAAGCTTGGCAAAGCACAGGGACCACGGTTCAATCCTCCAGCACCACATGCCAGCCGGCCCCGCCCCCTGGTGGGCTGAGCTGGCCACACACACACACACACAATAAATAAATGTAATAAATAAAAATAAATATTTAAAAAAAAAAATAAAATGGAGAACTATACTTGCTGAGTTTTACCTGGCTAAAAATTAATTTTCTAAAAAAGGCATTTCTTGCATCTTGTTTCTTCCTGTTTTACCTCTCAATCAGTTAAGAGTTCAGGCAAGGGGGCCGCAGCGATAACTCACTGGTCTAAGTCCCTGTGTAGGCAAGTGCCATGATCTAGATTCAATCACATACTATGCCGGGTGTACCAAGCCAGCCACCAAGACTGGGTGTGGTGGCACATGCCTGTAACCCCAGTGCTGAGGAGGCTGAGACAGGAGGATCACTACAAGTCCAAGCTGCATAGTGAGACCCTGAAAAACACATTTTTAAAAAAGTTTAAGCAGGGAAAATGATCGTATATACTGAGTGCCCAAAACTAGAACATCCTTAGAACCCTCAGTTACCATTTACTACCAACTTTAGCTTCCAATTAGCTTCCTAATCTAGTGTAGCCTCCATGGCTTAGGTGTATATTCCTCCAATTTTCATCTGGATTACTGACTGGTGTTCTGAACCCCAAACTTATAAACTAAAAAAATGACTAAAATATGTCAATCTTATCAGGCAACTGATCAGCAATATGGAAATCTCGGAAAAAGCTAATATTCACACCCAAATCAGAAAATCTCACTGTTACAAATTTACATCTATGAGGCACCTACTACAGATGAATTCTATCAACTTAATTACAGTCATAATTTGTATAGTTTAAATTTGCTTGCAACAAGGGCAAGATAGCTCAGTGAACTAAGGGCCTGCTTAGGCAAGTGAAGGGACCCTGGTACCACACGCCATGCCGGCACACATCTGTAATCCCACCTCTGAGGAGACTGAAAACAGGAGGATCACGACAAGTACAAGCTGCACTGTGAGACCCTGTACCAAATTAATGTATTTTGTACCAAATAATATACAAAAAAAAAAAAAAGGTTCCAACAGCGATCAGTAGCATTTTCTTCAAATCCTCTAAAAATCAATGTGTCACAACTTTGTAAAGAATGACACAAAATATGGATGGGAAAATTCACTCACTAATTTGCATTCTCCAATGTGTACTATTTACTGCATTATATTCCACTCCCAACAGAATGCAGAATTCCTTGAAACACAAAAAGCTAAACTGAGCTACATACTATTTAGGAACCAGCTATTAAAACAAATACATCAGGGGGGCCTGGCCCTAGCTCAGTCCTTTAAGTGGCTGCTTCCACAAAGCTGTCAGCCTCAGGTTGCTGGAGTTCGAACCTCACAACTCTCCCGCTGGCCACAAGTGCCCTGAAGGCATTTGAGGAAGCAAAAAAACAAATACATCAGTATATTAGTGCATTATTTGGGAACAAGAGGTAAAAGTAGAGGAAGTTCCTTTCAAAAACTTCCCAAGTAATTTTTTTTTTTTTTTGTGCCCCCCCCCCCCAGGATGCCTTCAGGGCAGGTCTGGTTTAGCTTAAGGATGAGGGGATCGAACCACAGCATCCTGAGCCTGACTGCTTTGTTTCAACAGGCACTTAAACTCCTGAGCTAATGGCCAGCCCCCCACCTAAGTAATTCTTGCAAGCCCTTTCCTGTCCCACCCCTATACAATTATAATGCTTCACAATTTACAAATAACTTACAATGACAACTTTTGAGTCTGAAGACTCAGACTGGAATTCTAACTCTGACAGTTACTACACACCACTAAGCATCACTGGCAATTTCTCACAGG